TTGTCTTGCCTGCTGCCATGTAAGACTTGTCTTTGCCCTTCTTTTACCTTCCACCCTGATTGTGAGGCCTTCCCAACCATGTGGAACTGTGAATCCATTAATTCAGTGTTATTATGAGCTACGATGACTACACTATGTAATAGATCACCAGACCTTATTCCTCTTGTCTAATTGAAATGTTGTACCCTTTCACCAACATCTCTCCATTCCTCCCCCTTGTTCCCACTCCTCCAGGCCCTGGTCACCACCATTCCCCTCTCTACTTCTGTGAGTTTGACTTTTTTAGATTCCATGTGTAGTGAGATCACGTGATGTATTTGTCTCTCTGTGCCCAGCATTTCACTTGGTGTATGTCCTTCAGGCTCATCCATGTTGTTTCAAAGGACAGAATTTCCTGCTTTTGCTTTTTGAGGCTGAATAGTATTCCATTGTGTATGTATGTATATAGGTATGTGTGTATGTATATGTATATCTCCATATATATATCTTCATCGATGGGCACTGTGGTTGTTTCTGTAGCTTGGCTCTTGTGAATAATGCTGCACAGAACATAGGGGTGTAGACAGACATGTCTTTGATGTACTGATTTCATTCCCTTTGGATATATATCTAGAAGTGAGATAGGTGGATTATGTGGTAATTCTATTTTTGGTTTTTTGAAGAAACGTCATACTGTTTTCCAAAATAGCTGCACTGATTTGCATTCCCGCCAATGGTGTTCAGGGTTCCAGATCCTCACTAGCACTTGCTATCATTCATCTTTTTGATGACAAGTATGAAGTGGTATCTCATTGTGGTTTTATTTTGCATGTCTCTGATGATTAGAGATATTGAGCATTTTTTAATGTACCTGTTGGTCATTTGTATGTCTTCTTTTCAGAAATGCCTATTCAGGTCATTTACCCATTTTTATAGGGTTGTTTGTTTTCTCGTTACTGAGTAATTTGAGTTCCTTTCATATTTTGGATATTAGCCTTTTATCCGATGTATGATTTGCAAATATTTTCTCCCAATTTGTGGGTTGTCTCTTTGCTCTGTAAGTTGTTTCCTTTGCTCTGCAGAAGCTTTTTAGTTTGGTAAAATCCTATTGTCTATTTTTGCTTTCTTTTTCTGTGTTCTTGGGGTCGTATCTAAGAAATCACTGCCCAGACTAATGTCATGAAGCTTTTTACCTTATGTTTTCATCTCATAGAATTACAGTTTCTGGTCTTATGCTTTGGTCTTTAATCCATTTTGAGTTGATTCTTATGTAAGGGGGTAATTCTTATTCTTCTGCATGTGGATATTCGGTTTTCCCAACAGCATTTATTGAAGAAACTGTTCTTTCCCCACTGCATGTTCTTGGTACCTCTATAAAAAATTAATTGACTGAGTTTATGTTTAGGCTTTTATTGAGAAAGCTTCACCACTGGCAAGGACCCATGTGACCATAATAAAATGTGAAACAAACAGATTTAGTAAGAAAGAGAAGAGAGAGAGAGAGAGAGAGAGAGAGAGAGAGAGAGAGAAAGCGCACGAGAGCACAAGCTGATAGAAATAATTCAGCAAGACAGTGTTTCCCAACACATATTCTGTAGCACTTCAGTCTCTTGAGATGTTTAGAGAAAAAAGTTTAATGGTCATCTAAATTTATGAAGCACTTGTGCTAGTTTTTCTTCTAACAGTTCACAATGCATATTGAAATATTAAAGAATCTGAGAAATCCTGCATTCATGGAAATATTTTCATTTTCTTTAACTCAACATTTTCTAAGCACTTTGGCTCTGAATTTCCTGCCTCCTCCACCTCCCTGTTCACACCCTAGCACTTACTAACATAGTATGGGATCTATTTTGGGAAATGCTGCAACCAACTTTCCCTTTCTGGTTTTAGAGCCTTGGAATCTTGATAGTAATTGTGAGGCAGATTTCATTTTGTCTAGATTTCGATAATAAATAATACTGAGAGCAACTTTCTCTCAAATGTTTATTAAAATGTTAAAAATAATTTGTGATCACAGAGACTATAATTTGAATCCAGCACAATCCATACTTTCAGGTTTTTGTTGTTGTTGTTGTTGTTGTTGTTGTTTTGAATAGCATTTCACTCTTGTTGCCCAGGCTGGAGTGCTATGGCATGATCTCGGTTCACTGCAACCTCTGCCCTGGGTTTAAGCGATTCTCCTGCCTCAGCCTCCTGAGTAGCTGGGACTACAGGCATGTTCCACCATGCCTGGCTAATTTGTTGTATTTTTAGTAGAGATGAGGTTTCACTGTGTTAGCCAGGATGGTCTTGATCTCCTGACCTCGTGATCTGTCTGCCTTGGCCTCCCAAAGTGCTGAGATTACCACCACCCAGGCGTAAGCTACCGCGCCCAGCCATATCCATACCTTCTTAACTATGGAGCTAGAATTTTCCTTTTCCAGGATGACTTAGAAACATGACTGATATTATGATGGAGACATTTCCATTCTTGTTCTGTGCCATCTCTCCTGGGATACACAGATGTCTACTTATATCAGGGCTTTAGTTAATAATTTAATATTGATTTTTTTTAACCTATGAAATTTTTTTTCAGTGAGCTCCTTTTAAGAGAGTATTTTCTGGCCGGGCGCGGTGGCTCACGCCTGTAATCCCAGCACTGTGGGAGGCCGAGGCGGGTGGATCACGAGGTCAAGAGATCGAGACCATCCTGGTCAACACGGCAAAACCCCGTCTCTACTAAAAATACAAAAAATCAGCTGGGCATGGTGGCGCGTGCCTGTAATCCCAGCTACTCAGGAGGCTGAGGCAGGAGAATTGCCTGAACCCAGGAGGCGGAGGTTGCGGTGAGCCGAGATCGCGCCATTGCACTCCAGCCTGGGTAACAAGAGCAAAACTCCGTCTAAAAAAAAAAAAAAAAAAAAAGAGAGTATTTTCTATTCTCTAGTGGTTAGTTTATTTTTGCTGTTTTGAAAATCATTTTTACTTAAGTCTAATTTCATTTAATTGTCAGGAAATATTATTTGTATAATTTCTGCTTTCTTTGGGGGAAATTTAATGAGTTTTCAATAGCCTCATATATGATTGATTATTGCTGCAGTTCCATGGATATTTGAGAAAAAACTGAGAAATATTCTCTGGAAAACCAAAGTTTGACATATGTCTGCAAAAACAATATAGTTCAAATAGCCTATATTATTATTTTTATGTAGTTGGTTTATTCAAGACCGAGGTGCAATCTTAAAATCCTCCCACCCCGAGAACACTTTTTTCTCTTTCTGCCATTTTGTTATGTATTCCAATCCCATATTATTTGATTGTTGAGATTTATGAGTTTTATATGTTCATTGTGAATTGTGCCCTTTATCAAAATAAGATTTTAAAATCCCATTTAATGCACTCGATCCTGAATATGGCTTCGTTGTATATTACTGTTACCATGCCTGCCTTAATTTATGTTTGCTTATGCTTTTAGTTTTAATATTTCTCCTTTAAAATGTTTGAACAGAGGCAAACAAAATAAAGAGATAATTTAAGGCCATTTCTCATACATATAACTTTTTTCCTTTCCCTGTCTTTAGAAGTCCCTCTTATATACAGCAAGCAGTGGGATTTTAAAAAAGTAATTCATAAGTTTTTTTGTTTCATTTACCTAGCAGGCTAGTTTTTTGTCAAGAAACAAGGTGGCTGGTTTCTCCTTGTCCTTCTTAATACCTGCTTGATTCTGGAAAAAACTTTAAATATCAAGCTGGGAGGATAATTTTTGGGCAGTGGTGTTCTTGTCCTGCAAAGGGGCAGTGTTTCCCTCTCTGGTTATTGAAGTCTCCACTGTTGGAATGCAGTGTGGGTGGGGAAAGTCTCTTTATGACTAGTGCCCCTGTTTTGATTAGAGAAAATTTCCTCGATTCTTAAAGCTTGTTAACGAGGGGGCAGATGTGGTGGCTCATGCCTGTATTCCCAGCACTTTGGGAGGTCAAGGGATGGGGGAGCAGATCACCTGAGGTCAGAAGTTCGAGACCAGCCTGGCCAACCTGGCGAAACGCTGTCTCTACTAAAAATACAAAAATTAACTGGGTGTGGTAGTAGACGCCTGTAATCCCTGCTACTTGGGAGGCTGAGACAGGAGAATCACTTGAAGCTGGGAGGCAGAGGTTGCAGTGAGCCGGGATTGTGCCACTGCACTCCAGCCTGGGCGACAGAGTAAGACTCCGTCTCAAAAAAAAAAAGATTGTTAACCAGATGTCCTAATTCAGTGACTATTCCATTTTTGTATTGAGTTTTTTTTTTAAGTGAGTATTGAAATGGGGCAGTGTGGTAGGAAAAATTGATTGCTATTTGTTACTTCTTTTAGCTTAGCAGTCCACGTGGATTAATCACATCTATGAGTTTTTCAGTATGCTCACAATTCTCCCTCTTACTTGGTTCTGTGATAATACATGCTGTTGAAGTTTTCTGTCTCATTCTTCCCAGTGATCTGGGTGTGTTCTATTTTCATGATAGCCACATTTAAAAAAAAATTTTCACCAAAGCATGATTAGATTTGTTTCTTTCCTTTTCACATTGACTGATTTTTTTTTTTTATTTGTACAAATTTATGGGTACACGTGATGTTTTGTTACATGCATAGATTGAGCAGAGATCAAGCCAGTGCTTTTAGGATCCATCACCCAAATAACGTACATCATACCCGTTAACACATTTCTCATGATCCTCCCCACCCCATCCCCTGACCCTTCCGAGTCTCCATTATCTGTCATTTCCTTGCATGCCACAGCGATAGGAAGAGGGCTTTATGCCCCTGCCCTCCTCCCTCTTGCATTATTCCAAAACATTCAAGAATGATGCTTCCTGCTCGGTCTCACTGAGCCTCTCCTAGACCATAGAAATAGCCCCGTTTTAATCACTCAATGCTCAATACATAAAAGGTGGATTAAATTAACAACAATATTTCTACACTGTATGTAAGCTGTCATTGTTTTCTGTTATTGTTGTTATAAAAAATGTTAATAATTTACACGCCTACTTTATTTCTGCTCCAGACTCATCTTGACATTCTGGAAAAGAGTGTCAACCTCAAGGAGGTCTACTTCCGGCAGGATGTTCTCTGCCAGACGCTGGGAGGGAATTCGTGTCCCTTGGTGACCATCACGGCCATGCCTGAGTCCAACAGCAATGAGCATCTAGAGCAGTTCCGTGAGTAAAATGGGATCCTCTTTGTTGGAAGATTTGACTAAGTGTGTCCTTTATAGTCTTGGAAGCATTCTGTCTCTTTTAGAAAAGGTCCATAAAGGGTCGGAAACTGTCTGTCTTTGTAGAAATACACCCCCACCTCTTCTTGGTGTGACACAAAGGTTAAACACTAATGTTGCTCTTTTGTGAAAGGAAGAGAAAATGAATTCAAACTGTCAGGGAGATGAAATGACAGTTTGCTAATGATGGTCACTTCCTCTCTTAAAACGGAACCAGGACTCTGAATCACATTTTCCAGCTTCTAATCCAGGGACTTTGTTCACTGTGCTCACTGCTGTTATGTGACTCTCAGTCAGTCAAAGTTTGGAAAGGAAGCAAGTACAGTTTTTGAACCCTGGCTCAAGAATCCCCTTGATAACCTGAATACCATTTGTATCTGAAGGGCTGGAGATGTGGGGCAGGCTCTAGCTAAGAACTCTGAAACTAAGTCAAAACCAAACTCATGCACACACCCACAGACACACACAAATGTACACATAACGGACACATACACGAACACATAGACACGCATAGACACAGACATATACACACACATATGTACATACACAAACACACAGACACAGACACACACACACACACACACACACACACACACACACGTCTTTAAATGTTAGGATCCTGTCCCTAAGTGTATAGGTGTGACTGACCTGTTACCAACTAGCTTTTGAAAATGGCCTCTGACATAGTTTCAGACCTTAGGTAGGCAAAAAAAATAAAAAAACCCCAAAGAATGAGGAATGTTTTGCAGTACAGAGAAGCTTTGGAGATTAAAGAAGAGACTGGGGACCCGAAGATACAGCCTTCTCTGATGAAGATACAGATTTCCCCGATGATGGTCCAGCCTTACCTGATGAAGGGCTAGCCTCATTCAGGTGACTCTTTGGTGGATGGGAATTGTATTTTCTCACACCCCATCAGCATCTGACAATGGATGCTTAACAACCTGGCTAATCAACAACCAATTGCTCCATCTGGATTCATGAGGCCCTAAAATGCTTTAATGAATAATCAGGGATTTTCCAAAAATTCTCTGCTGTGTCTTATGCATTTAAGAGCAATTTCTGTCATAGTCAGAGAGTCCTTCCCTGGCAGATGAGTGGTGCTTGGGAGCTGGAGACAGTAATCCTCCCAGCGCAACTTTCACTGAACAATTATTTATTTAAGAAAGTCTCAGCTTCTCTTTCTAAAAAAGAGGTGAACAGAACGCCGACGTACTATTATGACATAGAAGTGCCTCCGTTTTTGCAGTTTTGTTTGTGCTGACACTGGAACTTTTGCTGCTATTATAAATATGGAGAGTATTCTTACTTTAAGAAGAGGACTTGAAACATGCAAAGGCCCTTCAGTAATTTGGCACTCCAACAAATAGTTCTGTTAAAAAAAGAGAGAAAAGATCTCTTAGTACACCCTTATATGAATCAAAAGAGGCTGGTTTCTGCTTGCCCTGTAAGATGGGGTATAGTAAGTGTACACTTTTATGATCAGAACAGTTTTTTTTTTCTTTTAAACATGAGCTAACATTTCCAAGGTTCGTCTCAAGAAGTATCAGATGAATGCTATGCATTTTCTTTTTGTCACTTGCAAATGACAGTCATTGCGCTAGAGTCTGAGGAAACCAGGGGTCTGACCTAGGTGAAGGGGCTAGTTAGGGCCATCTTCATAAGTGTGTCACCTACACATTTGCACAGGTCTTCTGCTTAGAAGGGCCATACACTCTGCTTAATGCTCTTCTGTCACTCTCTTGAAATTCTTCATAAAATTTTAAACAAGGAGCCCTGCCTTTCCATTTTTCACTGGGCCCTGCAAGTTACATAGCTGGTCCCAGATGTGGCTTCATTCTTGGAGCCATAACTTCCTCTCTTCCTCATTCTGTACACAAATTATTAGATACTGGTTTAGTTGTTAAAGCATTCATGCTAAATTGACCACAAATAAGTGTATTACTATCTTCTTGCTCACAACGAATTTTATTTTCCTTTCCTAACCCAGTGGAAGCATTTTCATGGTAGATGTTTCAGATACTGTGGCAGGCAGGGAGAGAGAGAAGATTCTTTCTGCCTGAATGCCTTTCTTCAGACCCATCAGATAGCGGCACAGAGCTGAGATTCATGACACTGTGATATTGTGCCAGAATTGCTAGCCTTTGCTTACCGGTAATAACTAAAATAAGGATAACTAAGATCTGTGTGTAAACAAATGCTTATCTTGACTTCTGTAAACCACTGAAGTAACAAACAGAATGACAAAAGTCCCCTGGACCTTGGAATGTCCGGAGACCCCCACCCTTGTCTCCGCCCAGGAGGTGAATCACAGAATCCCCTGGCCCTTGGAATGTCTGAAGCCTTTTCATCCCCATCCCCGCTCCTCACCCCCACTCCCAAGGTGGTTTTTCGGGTATAAAAAGTCTTGGCACCCTCCTTTCGACGCCACAGGTTGGAGAGACGTGAGTCCTCTGTGGTCGCCGGCATAATAAATGACCCTGCAGTCTGGCATACTTTTGTCTTGGTGCTAACTCTCTACGCTTGGTCTAGTACAACAACATGAGCCACAGTGCTGGGGCAGAGTTTCAACAGGACTGCATAATAAAGAAGTGTATGGGGTAGGTTACAAGTGTATATGAATATATCAACACATGCCATTGCTGTGTTTCTAAAAGAAAAAAAAAAACCCAGCCCAGTATAAACATTACCTGCCCTTCAAAGTGCAACTAACTGTGCCTGTAAATCAGAAATGGAACTACTTAATTTCCTTTCAACTACAAATGTGATGTGTTGATTTAGGAGGAGGAAGCAGCAAATGAGCCTGCAACTCAAGATTCTCTTGCCTCCAGGCTTCCCTTCAGGTGAGATTAAATTGTTTTACCTGCTTCCTCCCTCTCAGGGGCTAGGGAAGCTTCAGTGTGGGGTTGTATTTGGCTGTAATTTAGCTAGTTTCTTCTTCAGTGGCTGCAACTCACCCTTCATAAGGAGCAATGAGTGGAAAGAAAGGTTCTCTCTCCACCGTGTGGGATTATTACTGTTGTATTTGACCGGAGCGTAGAAAGTTACCACAAGACAAAAGTATGCCAGACTGCAGGGTCATTTATTATGCCGGCGACCACAGAGGACTCACGTCTCTCCAACCTGTGGTGGCAAAAGGAGGGTGCCACGATTTTTTATACCCGAAAAACCACCTTGGGAGTGGGGGTGAGGGGCGGGGATGGGGATGAAAAGGTTTCGGACATTTCAAGGGCTAGGGGATTCTGTGATTCACCTCCTGGGTGGAGACAAGGGCGGGGGTCTCCGGACATTCCAAGGGCTAGGGGATTCTGTGATTCACCTCCTGGGTGGAGACAAGGGTGGGGGTCTCCGGACATTCCAAGGTCCAGGGGACTTTTGTCATTCTGTTTGTTACTCAGTGGTTTACAGAAGTCAAGATATACATTTGTTTACACATTGTCTGGGTGGTGATAGAAGTCACAGATTTTAGCAGTTACTGATAAGAAAAGGTAAGCAGCTTTACATAGTTTTGAAGAACAAGCTAGCAGTTCTATTTACAGAGGCCAAGGACAGTAGTTATTGTGAGGAGAATGGGGCAGCCACTTCAACTTATCTAAAAACAGTTTTGCATTTTATAAAATAGTTTTGCTCCGGTTCTGGCTCTAGGCCAGCACAATATCACATTACTTGAGTCTTACTTTAGAAACTCAGGAAATAGGACCATGTCTATGGAACCATGGGGGAGCTCCACTCTTATGGCTGGTTCCCCTGATGATCTGGTCTGAAGTCCTGGACCTGAAGATTATTGAGGACAACTTATTGATTACTTTTAGTTCCTCCCAGGGTCTGAGCTTCAGAGAGTCTTCCAAAAGCGTTTATTTGGTTTGATTTATTTTTCAAAAGCATTTTATTTTATTTATTTATTTTTTTTGAGACGGAGTTTCGCTCTTGTTACCCAGGCTGGAGTGCAATGGCGCGATCTCGGCTCACCGCAACCTCCGCCTTCTGGGTTCAGGCAATTCTCCTGCCTCAACCTCCCGAGCAGCTGGGACTACAGGCACGCGCCACCAACCCCGCTAATGTTTTGTATTTTTAGTAGAGACGGGGTTTCACCATGTTAACCAGGATGGTCTCGATCTCTTGACCTCGTGATCCACCCGCCTCGACCTCCCAAAGTGCTGGGATTACAGGCGTGAGCCACCGCGCCCGGCCCAAAAGCATTTTATTTTTAAAAAGTTATTTTCCTGGAAACATTTAGCCTTACTTTCTTGGTAATATATTTTCAGTTGAGTCGTCACCAGATTTGCCAGCTGTATACTTTATCACTATTTGGACAATTGAGGACAGTGCCTTCTTGAAATGATCCCAATAATGAAGACTTACTACTTTACGCCTTGATATTTGAGCCCTCAGAGTCAAACTGCTGCCAGGTCTTCAAGAGCAAAGTCACTCTCTGCCCTTTTCAGTGGGACAGTGAAAAGGGAAGTTTTCTGGGAGATTGTCACTGACGCCATTATGGAAGAGGGGGACTTAAAGGAGAAATTGATGATAGCGGGGAAGCTTTCTTTATAAAAGGATCGAGAACTTAATCTAGCATAAGGGACTGTTAGTGGTGAATGAGGCATTGGGCAGCTAGGAAGTCCAGGCACTTCCTAACTGCCCAATGCCTCATTCACCACTAAGGTAGGTACTTCCTAACTAGTAGGATTTGGGATGTCAAAGGAACCCAGGCAGGGCATTTGGGTTTTGCACAGGAGAACGGGAGCGAGGAGAAATATACAGAATCCAAGAAAACGCAACAGGGGGCTCCAACAGGCTGGAGCAGAAGATAACCCATAAGCAGATTGGGGATAGGCTTGGTAGGCACAATCAATCCAGGAAATTCTTTTCAGTGCCTTCTGAGCCTAGTCTCCGTTGGTTAATGGTGGTCTGGCATAGTTACACTTAGCCTACTTAAATCCTTTA